AGTAATATATGGCTTTTTGATTAAGCCACGAACATCGATCCCACATGGAGAATTACAATCTTTTAAGTAAGAAGAAATTAGATAACAAATTCTACTGTACAAAATATTCTTACTCAAATTATAGATGCTGTAATATAAATGAAAGTTCAATTTTTTCTAATAATTTTTTTATAATTGAAAATAAAGTAAACTAACAAAATTTAACTAGATTTTTGTAAGATAAAAGTAATATAAATAAAATATTTTTCTCCTTATCATAAATCAGTAACAAATATTGAAAATTTTGTTGTGGAAGTATTCAAATTGTGTTGAGTCAAATATAAACAATATTATTTTTTACCCTTACTAGAGATGCTATAAAAAATATTAACTAATTTAAAGTTTGAATAATCCTAAATACGGGCTAGACAGGGAAGATATTAGCTCTCAGTCTAGAGTTGTCTCTTCTCTCTCCGCTTAAGGGCTAACATCTCGTATCAAAACCTATAACAATAAGTCGAATTGGGGGCACTCTAAAGTTCTCTAACTCTACACCCTTCAAAGTTTATTTTCCTATTTATTTGCACTCGACCATATGAATTATATTCCCATCCATACAATCTCATGTGATTCTTACCATTAGTTGACTGAGACAATACCATCATCTCGGATCTTACATGTTCTCACAACAAATATTAACATCTTAATTGGTCAAATCAAAAAGTAAATGAAGTACAAGGATTAAAATCAACACAACTTATTCCGACATTAAAAATCAATACTTTACACAACTTTCATCCAACACTTAATCACTTGTCATATTAAGAAAAAGGATAATGAAAACTACTCATAATTCATAAAGAAAACACAACCACACTTAAGTTTAAAAGTAGAAATCATGTAAACGTACAATAAGTCTAAATTAAAACCAAATGTAGTCACAAAGGTAAAAACTTATCTCAAATTTCTCTCCACCAAACTTTTGAAGTTCCTTCGAATCTCTTCTTTTCCTTTCTCTTACAATACTCTTTACTAACACACTACAACTCCTTTTCTTCTCTCTAAAAGTATCCTAATTCTATGATAAGAGTGGTAGAAAGAAGTCTCTAAGAGAGGGGGCGGCGGTAGCTAATTGAGTCTTCCCTTCTTTTATAATCTTCCAATTCAAAAGTGTGTCCACATTCAATGAATTTTCTAAGAGTTGCCTCCTTTCAATAGTCATTTGAATGTATTTTTTTGTTCATTAATCATAAACCACATTTTCACAAAGAGTAATTTCAAACACCTTTTCAAAAATTCATCCAAATTAATTGAATCATCAAATAACTACATTTGACGCTTAAGCGCGAGGTCCTTCGCGCTTAGGCGCGGACTTCTCTATTTTTTTAACGTTTATGCTCCAGTCTTGAGCACTTAGGCGTCACAGTTCATTTGCACACTTTCTTCATTTTTTCTCTAAATTTGATTATTTTTCACTCATTTCACCATTTTTCATCCATTTAATTATACCTGAAAGAAAAATGTGTACACATATTATATATTCTAGGTGTATCACACCACCCACCACTCTTCATCATTTAGTACCAAAGCCAAAGCGATCCACTTATAGGCTAGCATTTCTGTTTTCTCCTTGGTTTTCTTTTTCCAAAAGAAAAATTGAGTTATAGAAAGCTTCTGTATAGTCGGTTAAAGGGTTTGACTTGATATAACCTATTTTGCACAATCATATACTAACTTCAACCATGAAGCAAAATCATACTAACTTCAACTATGAAGCAAAATCAACTAAGGAGACCACCTAATATAACCTATTTTGCACACAATCAAAATCATACTAACTTCAAATTCATTTCATTCCATTTCATTTTATTCTTGGAAAAGAGTGCATATGTTTATATAAGCATTGCAAAATAACCAAATGAAGAGTAAAGGGTCGACCATGTTTGAAAAAAAGGTTAACTTTTTTTTTTCTTATTTTGATTTGTTTTGTAACTTCCATTAGTCAATCCATCTTATTGACTTTTATAGGTCTGAGGTAGTGAACTTGGAAAAAATTGTCTTAGCAACAACTGATGGGAGCCAATTTGAACTAGCTATTTGATAATGAGCGGTTGAATCGGTCTTGGTTTTGTCAACCCACCCAATTCTATAAAATTGGTCTGTTCAATTTTTTTTTTTTTTGCATTTACAACATTTAATTAAAGGTCCATTGGTTGCATATAGATCAAGTATTGAGCTAAAATATATTATTTTAGAATTAAAATTCTTAAAATATTTTAAAAACCCCATTGTCGGTCAACTTTTTTTTTGTTTTTTTGAAAACTGAAAATAATTTTGAAATTTAATTTAACATAATGAGTATATAATTTGGGTTTTGAAATGAGTATGTTTTAATTTTGGAAAAAATGAGACCGAATAGATCTCATTCATCTAATAGTTTGCATAATTGTGTCCGATACTGCGAATACTACACCTTCCCGAAAAATACGTGTACACCTCGACAATGGACTTAATCCTGCAAACTATGAGATTTATGACATCTGTTCGGTCTGCGAACATTTTTATGTGTGACCAATAAGTTTCTCTATATAATAAAAAGATTAAATAAAATTTATTTTACCTGGATTCGAAGTTCTCTATAAAGACAAACCCCTATAGTTAATTACACCCCAAATAATGGGGGTCATTTGAGAAAACTCTCGATAATAATCAGAGGTACTAGTCTTAAAGAATTCAAAGTTTAGGTTTTCACGGTAGGACGTGGAAAAGCAAGTGGAAGTGGCTCAAATAAGAACAGTTATTTTCATAAGTCCAAAGGAAAAAAAAGATAAGGGATGTCACAGATCCTGAGGAGAAACCTCAGTGGTCTCCCAAACTATCTTAATGTGTGGTTGAGTTTTGAAACGATGTTATTTAGGTATTTAATCCTGTCAATTTCATTATTTGGGACTTACACTTGTATAATAATTGATTATGCAAATAGTCTGCAGGGAGAAGAGGGTTTACGTCGTTCTGGACGACAACCTTGGAACCTAAGCCGAGTTAGGACTTGCACTGCTCAGCATGACTATGCAAGAACCTAAAGAGGGTGTGAGGATTTACGTCGCACAGGGCTAGCTACCTCGAAGTCCTATGAATGTTATTTAGACTAGAAAAATTTAACTGGTGTAGAATGACGACCACCTCCACTTGTAATTCGCTCCAAGCTCCTCGCCACGCTGCCCACGAAGTTCCTCCAAACTTCTCATCAAAGTAGCAGTTCAAATGTCTGAGGTTCAAAAGGTTTTACCATGTGTGTTTCAAAGTCTTGGTATTGTTGTCATTATGGGAGGGTTAAAGTTTATTAGAGCGACACCAGTTAGGATCTCACAGTTCCCTCGTTTTGGTACCACTATTTTCTTTTGAATTTATTTGGCTTAAAAGAGTTATGAAACCCATTTAAACTTGGGAGATCTCATTAGCAACCGTGGGTTACCACCATAACCTCATCCGAGGGACTCCCGTAAATTCAAAAGTACGTATTATATTTTTGTTTTTTATAAATGTTATTTAATTTAAAAAAATATATAGTTTTGTTTTGAAAATGAAATCGCAATCAGTGTCTGCATCATGTATTAAACAAGAGTAAATTGCATTAAAAAAAATAACAATAAATAAAAAATATCTGTGTACCTGGCGTATCTGCTGCTACTATTCCTGTTGCGTGTTTAACTCACAAAATAGAATATAATTTGCAGGGAATGTAAATAAATTGCAGAAAAAAAACAGCAAGCAGCAGAGTAAGCAGTAACAGCAGTTGGGAACTCCAAACAGGTGATCCTAAGACTTCGTACAACTCTGGACAGCAACTAGCAAGCATGTACGGTGATCCTACAATCGCATACGGCTCCGGGCAGCAACTAGCAAGCGTGTACGGTGATCCTACGACCACATACGACTCCGGACAGCAACTAGCAAGCGTATATAGTGATCCTACGACCTCTTACAGCTCCGGGCAGCAACTTGCAAGCTTGTACGGTGATTCTACGACCTCCTACGGCTCCGGTCAGCGACTAGAAATCGTGTATGGTGATCATACGACCTCCTATGGCTCCGAGCAGCAACTAGCAAGTGTGTATGGTGATCCTACGACCTCTTACGACTTCGGACAACAACTAGCAAGCATGTATGATAATCCTACGACCTCCTACGGCTCTGGAAAGTAACTAGCAAATGTGTACGGTGATCGTACAACCTCCTACTGCTCCGGACACCAACCAGCAAGTTTCCACAGCCCCAAAATAGTCCTAAAACAATGACAAAACCCTCTTAAAAAAGTACCAAAACTGCAGCAAAACCAGTCCCAAAACATCTCCGAACAAGGTGTGTTTTAAAGGCTCCAAACCGCAAATATAACAGCCCCCAAAGAAGTGAATAAATTCTAAGCATGAAAATATTTCTTTCATGTTAAGAAACAGAGGTAGCTCTTTTGTAAAATTAAGAATTTGGGTGGTGTAGATGTAAGTTATAAGTTTTGGACATGCAGAAAATATAAGAATTGTGTGGCGTGCATGTAAACTTTCCTCAAGTCTAAATTGCAAAATAATGCAAAGTTGGCAACAACTTCCCAATTCCAAAAATCATAAAGCAATGTAAAGCTAGCTTCATTGTTTCTCAAAATATCTGAATCTTGAAGCAGAAGAAAGAAAATTGATTGATGCTTCCCAAATATGCATAAACTAATTAAAACCTTTAACAATTGGATACAACTTTAAGCAGGTGCTCAATTAAATCTTCAATCCTTTCAAAGCAATTTCATGCATGTAATTAAAAATAAATCCAACGACTGAATGCTAGGTCAGCCGTAGACTCCAACTTCAGCAAATTGTAGGTAGATTTGGTGTTTAAATTCATCCAAGATTTTCTATGTTAACGTTATTTTCAGATTTGCATAAAATAATCATGAATAACAAGTTTATATAACAACTTTTTACACAAAATAATTCCTCATTCATGATGATGTAAAACAGTGAATAGCTCGCATAGCAAGAAACTCTCTAACTGTGATAATCACATTTTAATCCATCCTCTTTTCTTTCTTAAAAAAAAATCCACGTTCAAGATTCAAAGGTAAGGGAAGTTCATAAAACCAATCAAAGCAATTAGTATAAGGATAATGGTGATGATGAGTTTAATCTGTATGAAGGAATATCTCAAACAGCCAGCTGATTATTAGATTCAGGATAAGACTTATATAAGAGGCACAAATCTGGGACTGCAGTAGAGGATGCAGGAAAAGCTTCTGTGTGAGGAGGCGAGTGTGAGGGTGCTTCGGTCGAGAATGGGAAGCCGAGGGAGGTGAGCAGGAGCTTCAATCGGGGGAGGGAGTCGAGCGAGGATTTATGGAAAGGGAGTCGGGTAGTTTCGGTACTGAGAGAACGGAGGCAGGATCGAGAGAGGAGCTGTCGAGCGGGAGAGAGGAGAGCGGATCGCAGAGTGAGAGCGTGATCGAGCGGAGGAGTTGAATATGTCGGGCGAGGAAGCAGCGAGCGGGGCTTAGTCGTGCACGAGGAAGGCGAGCGAGAGAGAGGAGCTTTCGAGCAGGAGAGAGGAGCTGTAGAGCGCAGAGGTAGAGCGGGATCGAGCGGAGGAGTTGAATCTGTCGGGCGAGGAAGCAGCGAGCGGGGCTCAGTCGTGCACGAGGAGGAAGGCGAGCGAGCGGCAGAGAGGAGCTGTCGAGCGGGAGAGAGGAGCTGTAGAGCGCAGAGGTAGAGCGGGATCGAGCAGAGGAGTTGAACCTGTCTTCGAGCGGGGCTCAGTCGTGTGCGAGGAGGAAGGCGAGCGGGAGAGAAGAGCTGTCGAGCTGGAGAGAGTTGTAGAGCGCAGAGGGAGAGCGAGATCGAGCGGAGGAGGAGCAGGCACGAGAGGAGAAGGGAGCAGGGGGAGGTCCAATCGGATGAAGGCGAACGGGTATGTTCGGTCGAGCGAGGAAGGCGAACGTTTTTGCTCGCATAAGAGGAGCGGGGTCCAAATAGAGGAGGAGCGGGTGAGGTGAGCGAGAGAGCCGAAAGGGTGGAAAGCGAAGCCCCGGCGGAAATTGTATCCCTCAAATTCCAGATAGTCGGTAAGGGGCGGGGAATTGAATAGTTTCCACAGGCTGATAATAAATTCTAAATGAATTTAATTAGATGAAATTAAATGACTTAATTGAAATTTCAAATTTTAAAATTTAAAATTATTTAACCCTTGTTCAGCCCGAGTCCAGTCCTAATTGAATCCGAGTTGAACCTGGGTTGAGTCCGGGCCTGTGCCCCGCTAATAAAAAAACGTGTATTGATTTTCGTATTAATTGCTCGCGCGCGGAATCATAGCAATATAAGTGTTCTTCGTAGTTAAAGTTGACGTCCTGGACACATCCGTGTGGTTCATTCTATCATCCGGGTTTGTTAGGACTAGTTCGCCGACGGACAAGTTAATTCATGTTAAAATCGTGCGTAGTGCGATGTGTGCACAAAATGTAGCGTCCGCGAGTTCTCGAATCACTAAGGGTTTCCCTAGGGCTGCTCCTATTCATGCAGGAACTCAACTCGAGTTTCATATGTCGGTTCGAATCAACTAAACGAAATGCCAAGGATTCGAAACCGCCCATACGAGACTCGAAGGATTGACGAGGTGGCTCGAATTTTCTAAGCGGTGTAGGTCTCAATTCTAGTTCTCTAATAGAGTCAAACAAGAAAAACCTAAGGTGACGATGTGGCTCGAATTTTCTAAGTGGTGTAGGTCCCAATTATAGTCCTCTAATAGAGTCAAACAAGAGAAACCTAAGGCTACACCCTAGGCTTTAAGGAGAGAAATAAAGACCTCACCCAAAAATGAGGTCGGCAACCATACATGATGAAATAATCCAACCAGCATGCCCATCATCTAACTGTGTTGCAGACTTCGACTATGAAGCTCTTTTTTTTTTCTATTTAAAATTTACAATATTAACTCTCATATGATGAAATAATCCTAAACTCAGGTCAAATCCATCAACCGACTATATATAAACTTCCTAAACACTAGCAGGCTGAGATCAAGTCAAGCTCTGGTCAAACCCATCAACCGACTATATAGAAACTTCCTATAACTATACTTCATGAATATTCATATAAGAAGCTCAAATATCGTGTCGATATCTACAACATTAATATCAACTAGCAATTCATTAACTCAGTTCTTTTACGCCAGAAAGAATTGATGTGTTTAACCATCCTTCAAGCTTCTCATTTAAGATGTCGTAGCTCTTTTAATTTGCTCCTACTTTGGAGGTTTAAGGAGTTTCTATTGACAATTTTTGTGACATATACGACTGGTTCTACCTAATGGATCTACCTAATGATTTCTCTCTTGAGATGATGTGGCTATTAATGATCTTGACCTTTTGGTAGTTTATTCCTCATGTAAAATGATTACTTCAATTCTAATCTTCAATTTGTTGTGCTATGGCAAAAATCATCGGTCATTCTTTAAAATGGTTGTTTTCATAGAAACATATTCTGATTCAATTTGATGGTTATAAATAAGAATCTTAAATATATAACTAGGGGTGTAAACGAGCCGAACACGAGTGAGCCTAGGCTCAGCTCGTCGGTTTGTTAAAAATTATCATTGTTTATGTTCGGCTCGTTTATATTTCAAACACAAAAAGTATGCTCGTGTTCGGCTCGTTTGCTTAGCGAGCCAAACACGAGTTATTCACGACCAAGAAGATGTTTTGAAAATCCTAATCACGTTGTCATAGGATGTTAAAGGTTGGCTTAAGATTTAAATCTTATTTTTTATATTAAAACATCATCTATCAAGCTTTGCAACAAGCGGAAATGTGAGTGTGGTTAATCAATGTTCGCATCATTTCCACGCATTGCCGTTTTTAACCATTTTGGTTGTCCTTGAGCCATGCAAGTTATTTGTGTTTTGAATTTAGGGTGGGTGTCATCAGAAGCTTATGAGGAATGATTATCAATCGCGATGATTTTCCTTGCTTGGAGAAAACAACAGTGTACTCATAGGCGGCACTTGATGTGATGATGTTTAGGATATGATTTGTTACTCAAATGGCTTTATCTTATGGCATCTCAATCTATTGAATATGGTGTTGTCATTATGTGTCGTGTCTAATCAAGCTTAACTAACGAATGATTATCCAAAATTTATAGATGTAATAGTGTAGGATTTAGTTAGTTTTTTTTGCATGAAAAGAGTAAAGCAATGTGGAAAAAGAATGATAATTTTGATATTATTAGAAAAAGTTTATTTTGTAGATGAAATTATCAATCCTTTCCTAAATGTTAAGTTCTATAATAGTGAAAATTGAGCATGAGATTTCATAGTGGCATGTTGAGAGTTGCAACATGGCTAGAGTCTTATAAGAATCAATTTGCCTTTCAAATTTGGGTCTCATGTGCAATTAAGTAATTTGGAGGTGCCTAGGGGCAAAAGACCAAGTTGGGCATTTCAAGTGCAATTGAGTAGAGAACCATTCTGAATGAATCATAGACCAATGTATTGTGAAGATATGGTGTACCCTAGTTCCAAGTCAACACCCAGGGTCAATCCTAAGGCCAAGTAGCCCTATAGGAACTCTTCTTGAGCTTCC